CTGCTCAGGAGTCTTTAGCAATGTCACTGAGTCAAATCAGTACGGAGGGAAATGTGAGGGCTGAAGAAGATGAAGACGAAATGGGTATGGAAGAGGCTGTGCTTATTGACAACTTTGGTAATGATTAATTAATTCTTTATGGTCTGCATCTTGCAATGGAATGCTAGAAGTTGAATAGCCAATGGGCAAGAGTTCAAAAAGTTTATTAAGGATCTAAAGGCAAAGCTGGACATTATATGTGTTCAAGAAACTTGGTTAAAGTCTTGTCTAGACTTTTCAATTCCGGGTTATGACTGTCTACATAGGGATCGAAGTAGTGGATCCGGTGGTGGGTGTGCAACTTTCATTAAAGCAGGAGTTCAGTATAAAAGGTGTAAATATGAAGTTTCTCTTGAGTGTTTAATCACAGAGGTATGGAGCACTGAGGGGAAAATATCTGTTGTGAACTGTTATAATCCATGCAAGGCTCTGATTTTGACAGAGCTTGATGAAATTCCAAGTAGGACTAGTTCCACTGTTGTTTGGGTGGGTGATTTTAATGCACATAACCCTTTGTGGGGAGGCCAAGCAAAGGATGCAAATGGCCTGGTGATTGAGGAACTTTTAGATAGGAATAATTCTGTTATTTTGAATGATTGTTGCCCAACTCGGATAGACATTAATTCAAACAAAACATCTTGCCTTGATCTTTCTTTTACATGTCCATCATTAGCAAGAATAGCAGACTGGAGAGTATTGCACAAGGATTCAATTGGCAGTGATCACTTCCCTGTGATTACTACTTTTAATAAAGCACTGGTGGTAGAGTCTTTGGTGAGAGCCCCCAGGCTAGACTTTTCCTTGGCAGATTGGGACAAGTTTAGGGAGGGCACTAATAAAGGGTTGGCTGAGGTGTGTCTTTCCGCACCGGTACTACCCCGTACAGGGCTACTGGTCCAGCTCTCCGTTACTAGGGCTAAGTTCTGACTGCCTACAGGCCCTTGACCTAATAGGATTCTATTGAACTGATTAAGCTGGTGTTGAGGAAACTCGCCTAGCTTCTGACTGCCTTAATCCAGACGCCTACCCCGCTTCTTCTAATATGTGACCCCGCTAAGTAGCCTCAATAGCCGAATCACCCACCAGACACGCCTGTTGGTGGCAGCTTTCCTCTTAAGGGAACGAGCACTTGGTAAGTTGCTAGGATGGATTTAGAGGTTTGGCAATACTAACCCCAGGGATATGTTTAAATACTCTATTTTACTCTTGACTTAGAATAACCATTAAGAACCTGTAAAAGATGTTATGCACACAATAATCTAACTTTTCACCACCATCGGATACTAGAAATAATTCAATAAAATTTTAGTCAATATTGTCTTTAAATGCAGGATTATATATTTATTGCAAATCTTTAGCATGGGCAAAGCATCAGCATTTTGATTATTCACACATAATTAATCATTCATCTTGTTAAAAACTCGATCAGCCTAAAAGTAATAGTAAAATAATCTGTGCTCCTTTAAAATATAATCAATGACAAAAATACTTAATTTGAAGAGAGAGAGAGTCTAACAGCCTGGCCAGTACTGATCAACTCAGCTCCGTCCTGTCCTGAACTAAGATAGACACCCTACCGGCAGAGCAGCTACCCTGTACAGGGCACCGATGTGCAGGTGACGTCCACCAGTCAGGGGGAGACGAGGAGCCGCAACTCCGATTTAGAACTGCAGTCTGTTTGGATCTTCGGTTGGACGATGAGGCGAAGATGTTTCTTCTGGCAGAACACAGAAAAGGGTTCTGCCGCTCCTCTTCAGTTGTGTTGCAGTCTTGTTGCAGCTCCTTCCTAGCGCACCCAGTCAACTGAGAAAATGTTCTAAGAACTCTAAGTGTTCCCGGTCCGTCTCTCAATCTTCCGTGCAGGTTGACGTCCAGCTGTGCTCTCTGTCATCCCCGGGCGATCTCCGACAAACATCTCTCTGTCAGTGTCTTTTATACTATCCCTACGGCTCTCTCTCCCATAAACACAATGTTTGATTACTAATAATACACACTCGCTGATACACACTATTAGTACACATGAAATACACACATACATTGTTGCACACACAGTCATAGGGTGTTGCACTTTTCAGTGTAACACACCAACTCCATTTATGGTGACCGGAACGAACATAGTTTGGCAGGCACAGGAAGTCTAAGAGCCATCTGTTTACAAAAAAGAGGAACCTCTGTTTATTCAAAAGAGGAACATGGCTACTTTAGCATTGAGCTCAGCTTGCTAACCTCTGGTGACTAACAGCTCATCAGGAGTTATCCTGCCTTACCCTGTTTTTAAGGACACTGTTCTCATACACACATCTGTCCCTGCACTTGAGCTCTGGAAACTACCTAACTTTCCCTAACTCATACTAATAGAATTTATCAGCTTAACTTTAACACTACTGATTGTCTGGTTATATAAGGTTCATTTAAGAATCATTACTTAAAACACTCAATCATTACATTTGCAGTACAGCATATAATGTCTCAAATCATTAAAGTCTTTTATATTGCTTACAGCAGAGCCAGAGTTCTTTGTTAGTGGCTGTGTCTGGGATCTCAAAACCTGACCCCACTTGACAGGTGATAAGTGATGGTTCAATAAATGAGATGTGTGATTCCTTGTCAAATATGATAATGAGAGTAGCGTCAGAGACAATTCCAAATAGAAGAGTGCCTCGTAATCGCGTTACTGTCCCATGGTGGAATAAAAAGTGTTCGGAAGCTGTGAAGAATAGAAAGAAAGCTTTTTATAAGTTAAGGAAAAATCCAACTCTGGAAAATGTAGTAGATTTTAAAAAATGCAGAGCATTAGCACGGAAAATTATCAAGGAGGCAAAAAAGAAATGTTGGAGAGAGTGTTGTGGCACACTGGGTCCTAAAACCCCTGTGGTAGTAAAGAGGCAGTATTTTGTAAAGAAAAAGCAGATATGTGTGTTGAAACATTTCAGGATATTCATAGTTCAAAGTTTGTTGAAGAAGAAAGTCTTCGAATTAGAAATGAGGTTTTGAAAGAAAATAATTGGAAGTTAACGTGCAATAAGAATGAAAAGTGTCCTTATAATCTTTATTTTTTTGTCAAAGAGTTGAGAAAGGCAGTAGATGCTGGTGCTAATACAACCCCAGGACAAGATCAGATTAGTTATAAGCTTCTGCAACATCTGGACGATCCAGTGATGGAGGAAATTCTTGCTTTGTTTAATTATATTTGGGAGGCGGGCTCATTACCAATGGTTTGGAATTGAAAGTCAGCTCTCAAAGACTGTAAGTATATTGAATGGTGCGCCTCAGGGGACTGTGATTAGTCCTGTTTTATTTAATGTTATGATGAACAATATCTTCTTAAGGGTGAGTTCAACTTTTGGTAAATTGCTTTTCGCAGATGATGGTGCCATCTGGTGTAAAGGCAAAAACATTGAATTTTTAATGAAATAGACTCAGAAAGCCTTAACTGGTGTAGACTGGGAAAATATGTGGGGATTTAAGATCTCACCGTCTAAAAGTCATTTTATGATTTTTGGTCTTAAAAAGAAAATTCCTGATATTTCACTGTATTTATATGGCTGCTCATTAGAAAGGGTAAAAGTGTTTAAGTTTTTAGGTATGTGGTTGGATGAGAAGTTAACATGGAGTACTCATATTGAGAAAATTATATGTAAATGTGAAAAAATAGTTAATGTTTTGCGCAGTTTGGCTGGTAGTGATTGGGGAGCAGATCGGACTATTTTGCACGTGATCTACAGAGCAATGATTTGATGCTTTGTGCTTTTGGTGCTTTGTGTATGGCACTGCTGCTAAAACTGTTTTGCAAAGGTTGGATAGAGTGCAATCAAAAGCCCTAAGAATTTGCAGTGGAGCTTTTAGATCAACTCCAATACCAGCCTTACAAGTCGAAATAGGAGAGACTCCTTTAAAAATGAGAAGATTATAGTTTTGGCTTTTTCCGGAACCTGAAGTCCATTTGGACTTTGTGGGGCAAGAAAAGAGTGAAATTAGTCGTCAGGTTAATGAGTTTGTGGCTTTTAATAAAGATTCCTTCTGTCATATTTTTACAGATATGTCTAGAGATCCAGGTTCAGGGAAAAGCTGGTTTTGGGGTGAATATAATGAACAATAAAGTAAGTAAAAATATGCGTGTCTCTGATCATGTGTCTGTATATACCACAGAACTGTTGGCTATTAGGTAAGCTTTAGACTGGATTGAAAGAAATAAGCCTGAGATGTCTTACATTTATTCTGATTCCATAGCCGCTTTGCAGGCGCTTACTGGTGGAATATCTGGAGCTCGAACAGATATAATGCAGGAGATTTTGGCTTCTCTCCATCGAATAGAATTGATGGAATGTAATGTTGCTTTCTCGTGGATTCCTGGTCACTCTGGCATAGTAGGGAATGAAACTGCTGACAGGTTGGCAAAGAAGTCACTCCTTCACAAAGAAGTTGATCATAAAATCTGTCTTGGGTAACTTGAATGTATTAGTGTTTTTAAAAGCTTTGTGCAGCAGCAGTGGGAAAATGAGTTGCGGCATGGATCAAAGGGGAGGCATTGTTTTAAGTGTCAACCTTCCGTACAGAATGAAAGGATTCTGTGGATATCTTGTCAGATTAATCAAGTCAAAATTGTCAGACTAAGGTTGGGGACGTGGACTCACAGCATATTTGAAAATAACAGGAAAGCACCTGGCTGGACTATGTCAGTGTGGCCATCCTGAAACTATATCGCATGTGTTATTAACCTGTCGGAAATACACTGCTGAAAGGAGGATTATGTTTCAAGAGCTCTCTGAGATTGGTTTAACAACGTTTTCAATAAAGGCTATTTTCTCATCTGGACAGAACTCGCAGGTGATAGACAGAGTTGTTATAAGGTTTCTTCGCTCCACCAAAGTCTATGTAAAAAAAAAAAAAAAAAAAAAAAAAAGTAAATGGTTCATGTTGACCAGATGGGGCAGCATTGTGCTTGCATAGCGTACAGCCTGCCGGAAACCATTAAAGAAGAAGAACACGAAGAGGCAACATGGCGGCCGCCGGTGGAGTGTCCGTGGACGGAGACATGATGCGATACGCGGAATACTCTCCTAAAACAAACGCGAGGAGCGATGCAGAGATAGACAGGCGGTTGGTAGGTAGCTGTTTTTACACTGAACATTTTCGTAGAGATTTTTTATTCCAAACCAAGTTGTGTTTTTCCCAGCCAACGCTTCTTAGGTAACCTCAATGACCGTCAACAGAGCGCCCCTAGCTTGTATCAGGTACATTCGCTAGCTAGCAAGCTATCATTAACTGGCCAAAGTAAGCGTTAAATATATATCTTATTTGATATTCGTTAGCTTTAAGGATAAGTTAGTGCACTTTACTCTTCGCCCTAGACTGCTCAAACTAGAATGGCCAGGTAAATGAAGCCTTGTTATTTGTTGTAACTCGTTAGTTACCTAAACACTGATGTCCATATGTTGATAGGCTAATATCACGTAAGCTAAGATGATTAAAGAGCCTTTAAATAAACAAAAGCTTAAATTCCAGAGTAAACGGAATTGCAGATAAAATTATGTGGTTGTGTAATACGTTTGGAGTTAATTAAAATTGAATTGTGCTGCCATAAGCTACTATATTCCTGTAAATATTAAGCAATGTGCAATATTCAGGAGTATAACATTAGTTTCACTACTGTTTTTGAAGTGATCTTGCTACACCAAATAAGCTATCTTTGTACTTTTTTTTTTTTTTTTTTTTTAGATTTTTGGATATCTTTTACACATCTAAAATATATGACCTATTTCATCATTTTCTCACATCTATTAAACTTTATATATTTACTTTAACACTGCCCTAAATTACCTTTTGAACAGCAACAAGCTGACTCACTGTTTTCAGAGATAATACTTGTACATATTTTTATTTATATTCTTTTATTTTGGTTGGACTGTACAATTGCACCGACAGAATTTCTGTTTCATTTTGTTGTACTCTGTGCCACAACAATAAAATGATTTCTATTCTGTTTTATGATAATTGCAAAATGTTTTTACACATGTGTTTGTCAGTCTTTAGGAAAACTAAATTTTGGACATTTAAGGATAATTTGATTAATTGTTTAACCTGTGTATGCAGACAAGATGCTCATTCTTTAGTATATCACTGCTGACAGAAGCAGGTTTGGAAAACTTTATTTAGAATTTGAACTAGGCTCATTATGTTGAGCTTTGTGCAACACAAAGTTTCAGTACAACACAGAATTACACAATACATAATTGCTGGATCCAAAATTATGATAACACTCAACACAAGTAATTGTGCAGCACTGGTGTTGCTTTTTTAAAATCCTTTCAAACACACGTAGTTCACAACCTGTCACAAATTCACAGTTAATCATTTGCAAGGTTTAGAGTGTGAAAGCAGTTCGTTGCATCACAGTGTTTGGTAACTTCCTATGTTTGGTAAAATGTTTGTTCACTTGCTACAATGAATCTCCATCCATTGACACAAGTAATGATTTGTGGGTGCCCTCATTAAAGCTTATTAACCTTAAATGAAACAGTTGTTCCCTTTTCCAAAACAGAGTATCAGCCTTACAGACACCGAACAGCCAGTTTTCAGTGCAGATTTACTGGCTGCTGTTTCCACAGTGGATTAAATAAGACACACTGAGGCTGTGTTGTATGGCTTGTTTGACCCAGTGTGATAACTACGAGGTGTTTTATTTTGATGATAGGGAGGAACTCTGATTGCTGTTGGTCTTAGTGTTGCTGCTGCAGGATTTGCAGGTAAGAATATTGTGACTTGCTAAGATTATATTTTTGGAATGGGCATGTGCAGCATTATTTTTCATTTTACCTCAAAAGTTTTGCTATACAGATGTATGCTTGGCTTTTTGGTAGCCCCTTTTTCATGTAAACAATTGTTTGGTTTTGATCCATAGGTCGCTATGCATTCCAGCTGTGGAAGCCTCTTGGACAAGTTTTCTCTGAAACTGTCAAGAACATGCCCTCATCAGTGAGTAATGAACTTACAGTCTATACTTCTGCTGGGATGTTGATATCCAGTCCTATTCAGCTAAACTTTCACTTTTTAGTGAATGAAGAACTTACAAAATTTGTCACATCTTTCATACAGGATTTTATGCCCCTCATTGCAAAGTGCATCCACACCCTTAGTTTTTACACATATTCCTCTTCTGAATCAATTCATAGAAAACTAGGTAACCTGTGGATATCATTGTGGATTTAACTTCCTAAATGAGCAGAACTGTAAAAGTTGTGGGTTTCCCAAAGACAGACTTGAGACTGGTCTACCTTAGATGGAATTATGCAGAGGAACCCTGTTTTTTTTCCTTTCTTTTTTTAATATATATATATTTTATGATGTTACATATGTCCTATTTGTAAGTTTAGTTAGGCTTATACTATTGATAATCAAAGTTCTAACACTCTTCTGTCTCCTCAGGCTTTCTCAGCCTATTACAAAGGAGGGTTTGAGCAGAAGATGTCCAAGCGAGAGGCCAGCCTCGTTCTGGGTATCAGGTAATAGAGTGTGTTGCAGTAAATGTTTTATCTTTTGACATGACTCCCATTGTTCTGTGTTTATGTCTAAGAATAAAGTTCTGATTTATGATTGATCACATGGATGTATTATCTGTATCTTATGTTCAGCCCAGTCAGCACTAAGGCCAAGATCCGTGAAGCCCATCGAAGGATCATGGTCCTGAACCATCCAGATAAAGGTAAACTTAAACATGGAACACGTCTTCTGTTGCACTTCTCCTTTGTGGTGCTGCTTTGGTACCAACCACCTCTAGTCAGCTTTAACTGAAACCAACTTTCAACCTCTGACTTTCAAACTGAGAAAAGTCTGATGATTAGCCTTCAAATCCAGACTACAACTACAAGTTTTCCCCTTTGACGCAATCACCCTGGAATCTAACGCACTTTCCCAGCCTTCTCTGCCACGCCGCCATGCACTCCTGGAAGGATTCTTCCGGGATTCTCTGCAGCTCCATCGTCACAGCCATCTTGATGTCGTCCACGTCTTCAAAACGGGTCCCCTTGAATGACTCCCTTGAGCTTGGGGAAGAGGAAAAAAATCCCACGGAACCAGGTGGGCTGAGTAGGGAGGTTGCTCCAGCACAGCGATGTTCTTCTCAGCCAGGAACTGTCGGATGCTCAGGGCATTGTGAGCAGGCGCATTATCATGGTGAAGCAGCCATGACTTGTCCTGCCACAACTCTCACCTCTTCTCGCACACTGAACGAAGCAAATGCTGCAGGATCTCTTTGTAGATGTGCTAGTTGATCGTCTGAAGGGGAAAGCTCGTAGTTTGTAGTTTGGGTTTGAAATATATCTTTTGTGACACCAGTCCTGGAACCTTTCTGACACACCTCGTATTGTTTTGTACATAATATTACTAAACTCAGTTACGTTAGCAGATTAGATTAAGGTAGTCAGTGATATATCAGTACCCTGGTGGTGTGGTCTGCCTCAGTCTGTGCTGGAACTGTTTATAGTTGATGCTCATCACTAATTGATGCGTTTTATTACCGTACAGGATAACTAATTAAAGCTGTATAATACATTTCACATATTAAGGACAGTCTTGTAAGTCAGATTGTTTCTTTGTTCATTATGTGCCTTAGTTTGGCACATGTGGAATTTAATTTTAAAAATTAAGAATGTTTAAGTAGGAATCCACATAATTCAAAATAACATCAATCATCCCTGAACAATGCAGAAGATAATCTCCTAAATAAAGAACCAAAGCCCTTACAGAACTCATATTAGATTCATTTTCTAAAAGAAGAAAGAAAGAAAGAACTAATACATAAAAAATTTAACCACAAGTTGCCAAGAAAAAGTTGGATCAGCGCTCCTATGAATTCCTTGTATTAATAACGTTAGTTATTAATGTAAAATCTTGTTTGGAAAACTTGTGGATGGTTGTACTTTGTGAACTGCTATCACAGGATCAGATTAAAATGTAAAACTTTCTGTGCATAGGTGGCTCACCGTATCTCGCTGCCAAGATCAACGAGGCCAAAGACCTTCTGGACAAAGAGATCCGCCGATGACCTGCAGCGTTTACGAGCACTTTAAAGACTTCCATTACCTTTCCAGCTCTACAGTTCTGCTCCGTCAGCATCCATATCAGCACCACACCAAGACCTCCATCCACTCAGGCTCCTGGAAGATGGCAAAGAAAGATGCTCTCGTTATGGTTTCCTTCTTAAGCTGGTTTTAAATCAACCTTGTGAACTGACTGATGGATGCTGCCTCAAAATAACTGTCTTGTGAAACACGTCAGGTGTTATTATTGAAGGTTGTATCCTTGTAGCTGTTAAAATAGAACAGTGCTGCTCAGTTCATCATCTCAATGTATAGCATTTTGGTATGAGTGTACATATGTCTGCTTGTAGGGTATTACATAACAATCTATTTAAGGAACAATAGAGTAATACAATCAGATGTTTCCATATTTAAACAGTTGAAATGAGAGTGGTAAAAAGAAATCAATAAACTTTATTTGGGAACATTTACAGAAGTTGGGTGTTATTATATGTGCACAGCTTAAACCTGCATGAACCCTATTTACTGATTATACAACTGTTAAGACTAAAATGTCAGTACCAAAGGGTTTTAAGTGTTTTTAAGTTCAGTATCTAACTCAGGAATTACTTGCAGCAGCCACTAGCTTCTCTCATCTTGCACCAAAATCTGAATATATATATACGGTGGAAATCTAACTAGGATTTTCGTCATTGCATTCAAACAAGAGCTTTTATTTAAACTCAGAAACATTGAGGTAGTAGCTTCATTTACAATAAAGCCGATCATCAAAGGTTGTCAGTATACGAATAACATAAAACTGTGATAACATTTTCAGTAAAGGTGTGAAAAACCCCAAATCGTTAAAATATTAAAACCATCGATAAATAATGTTTCCTGAGAGCTGCATGTGCCAAAGATGTTTTTAGTTGTGTACAGTGGCACCGGTGACCTACCTGGTGATGCTGTCAAATCTGCACAGCAGTGATCTTCTAGTTGTGTTTTACGATTATCTTTGCCATGCCATTAATTTGTTAACATAACTATATTTGTCATCAAAAAGCAGACAAATGACAAAGGAACACCCCAGACAGCAACTTCAAAGCTTCTTTATTTAGAGAATCATGTCTTATTGATGTCACGGTATGTTTCATTGGATGGCGAGGGCAGAAAGCAAGACATATCATTTCGCGGTTACACTTACAGCAGCAGTTATTGGCCAAAAATACCAATTACAGAAGGGTTTGCATGAAAAAAGGTCTAATAAATAGAAAAGGAATCTGTCCTATTCAAATGTCTGCAAAGTTGGGACACGCTGGTCGGTCCGTCATGATGGAGGGTTTCTTAAGAGCGGGAATGTGAGTAGAGCCTTTTGAGTTCTTGAAAGGTGTTAGCATCATGGATGCATTCATGTGACATTGACGTTGACAACAAGAGATCTGCCATTAGGAATGTCCACTCAGCGGGCTTAAAGTCAAACTGAAACTAAAAGTTGTTCATGCTTACAAATCCTTGGTCTGTGTTTCCACTTCCGACTTTATTAGTCAAATCCATACTTGCCAAAACACGGTGCTCCGGAGGTGTCCAAAAAAATAATGTCCATGATTTAATAATTCACAATCTTAGTTTAATCTAGTATTACATTTTTTGACTCTCCCCTTATTGAGGAGGGCAGCAAGAAAGACGGTTATGAAGCACTCCACAATCGTGAAGGTTTTTAGGAACTGGAAGACATCTGCAGCATGGTGTCAGACATTTTCAGAAGTACATCCACATATCTCAGTCCAAAAAAGTTTTTTTTTTTTTTTTTTATCTCTTGGTCGAACCACAGTGAGAGAGATACAGGTGAGACAAGACAAAAGGCAAGAAGCTAGTCCTGAGCAGGAATCAATATTTTGAAGCATTTTCCTGCTCTATTAGTTTTCTCTAGTGAGCATGAATTTTGGCATCAACTGGTAATGTCTACACTGTATAAGCACTACAAAAGTTTGCTATATTACTTTAACTTTCATTTGATCTTTATTGATGATTTAGATCCCTTTTAACAGCCTCAACTTTCATTCTAGATAAACCCAACAGCACCTTACCAATATGTCAGCTGCTATAGTTGCTAATACTATCTAGACCTTTGAAGATGTAATCTGTATGCACAGTTGTCACATATGCACTGACGATCTCTAGTTAGTAGTGAAACCTAGTGTGTCTCTATGGGAAATACCCAACAAGAGGCTTGACTTTTAGATGCAGGTCCTAGAAATATATCCAAAAAACAGATCTATCCTCACATTTGAGGGAATTTTTTAAAATTTGGCACAAACATTCACTTGGACTCGAGGATGAACTTTCAACATGAAGCTAGCTGTGGCCTTGTGTGAAGAACTGGTGGCTTTCCATTGCAGGAACTTGAGACAGGTGTGAGGTGGCGCAGATGTTTCCAGGAACAACCCTGTAATCGCCTCTTTCAAGCTCTGACCACGATAGTAATATCGGAGCGTGGCAAAACGACGGACAACAGTTGTGGGATGTCTTTTTAGTTCTACATGCACTTAGAAAATAAAACAATCAAGTTCCTGCAGTTGAAAACGGCCTGTAGATGTAAACTGCATCTTGATTTGTTTGCGAAGGCACACAACCCGAAGGCAGTAATTTTAGTTTAATTTTGTATTATTATGTGCCTTATTCCTACCCTCATGGTATATGAATGCTTGAATTATGGGTGTTATAATCTGTCTTAAAGAGTCAGCGAACACTTTTTATTTAAGGTTTGGGGAACACACTCTGTTGCACTCTGAATGTGATCATATCTCTGCCTTATATTACCAAGGGATGGGAGCGCGACCTGAAAAAGTGGCTTCTGATAATGTACAGCAGCATATTTAGCTACTTTATTACACACTGCTAGTGATAGTAAAGCACGCTCTTGCAGGTCATTCATTGTCTGTATATAAAAGATGCACGTAGCAACCGTGCTGATTTGTGGACTACCATTGTGAAACCTTGAATTTGTTCTTGGACATGTTGGTCTTTTGAAACCTGACGAGCGAGGAGGTGTCTGTAATTGTAACTTGTCAATCACAAGGTGCCTTTGCCCTAAAACATACCCAGCATTATTGTCTATCTCACTCTAAATGAAAACATAATCCACAAAATGAACACCGTGCTGTATTCAAAAAGTCAGTACACTAGCAATTGCAGCCATAAACTAATTTGGAGAATTTTTACTGAGGTACGAAATCAAGTGAGAAGTCGGCTTATTTTCTCATTGATTTCTATGCAGTCTGACTTCTTGTAACGAGAGGAGTCGCCCTCTGCTGGCTGTTAGAGAGAATGCAGATTTATGGCACTTTGGCATTGGTTTCACTTTAAAGATAGACTATGTCCATTCTTTACAGTCTGGTCATGGTTTTTCTTTTAGGCATCCATAGAAATAAGGTTAAGGCAAATAAAGCATGCGTGGAATTAATTTAGAGCCTCATTTATCTATTGCTAAGCTATCTTAGTGTACAGCTGCTATTAGACACCCCTTCCCCCCAACCTTTGATAGGAGAAGGCAGAGATGATAATCCTGTTTGTCATATTGTTGAAGGTGTGATGGGCTTTATTCTTGCATTATTTATTACCCCAAAAGACACATATCACTAACATGGGGACAGGAGTAAGGCAAATATCTCACAGAAAATAATGAGAATTTAGATTTCAGTTCAACTTTAAAAGCAATTTCACAAATAAATGTTTTGCTTTCAGCTGATTGGCTGTTTTTTGTTGTTGTTGTTGTTTCCCGATGCTCATAGGAACTTGTAGTTGACTCATCTACAGCATCTATAGAAAAGTTTTTGTCATAAAGTAGAATATTTTTTCTCTAGCTTGTTTATGTAGGTGAATCAAGCTGTACTTCCACCGCAGTGTTGAAAAGCTCCATCAGACAGTCACCTGACAGTGTCTACAGGGGGAAACGTACAGGAATGTTGATGCAGGAACAAGATCAAGTAGAAGTTGGAGAAAGCACCATGGAAGCTCTGCCCACTAAGGCGAACATGGAGAAGGAGGAGGAGGAGGAGGAGGTGGTGTTAGGTTTACATTAGGGGCATCCAAAACTGATTATTTTACAGTCGATTATCACCGATAGAGCATCCAGAGACATGAATATTAATTATTCCAGTAAATAATAATTCCAGTATTTTACATTTGTTACGTTTGGACCACTGACGGCCGCTGATCTTCCAGCTTTCACAGTTTCTGCTGAGATGTGGCAAAAATAAAAAATCACTTCCAACCTGTTCAACCTCGTGCAGGAAAAGGTTACGCAGTGAGGCTGATAGGCAACGTAGTCTTAATAAAAAGAAATACCAACATAGGCAACCGAAAGATGGTGTTCCTGGCTCGAGGAGGACACATCAGAGGTCTCGGTGGAAGTTATTCAGCAGCCCATCGTTAGCGTGCTTCATTAAGGCTGCTCGGTTTCACGTCATCAGCGGCCATTAGCAGTCCTGTGTTGCCCTCTCTAAGTCTTCATCCTGCTGCCCTGCCTCCTCCTCTGCCTCCTCCTCCTCGTCTTGCTCCTCTTTCTCGCTCAGTTCTTCTCCGATTACATCTAGTCTCGCTTCCTGCCCATTCAGCACTTGCTCCACCTCCTCCTCTTCCTCCTCATCGTCATTATGAAGTCTCGCCTCCTGCAATTGCAGCCGCCGCTCCTCCACCAGCAGGAGGCGCTCTCTGACGCCCTCCGCTGCTGCTGCCGTGTCACTGGGACTCCCGAAGTACTGCTCGCTCCTGAAATTAAAAGTTAGGAGTTTGTATGAGACGATGTGTTTGCTGTGTGGACCACTAATGTTGATCCCCTCAATGTAAAAGGAGAAAATTAATTTTAGGGTTGACTGATGAATGAAAATTTAAAAAAATCTTTCAGCTTATTGTTTCTTTACTATTTAGATTCACTCTTGGAGTTCTTAAGCTGTGTGTCCACAAAGCATTTATTTCTAACTGTAAGCGTCTTTTTCCATTGTTCTCAATGAGGAATGCCTTTTTGAGAATGCTCTCCGTCTAAATCTTTAATGTAATTGAAAATCTCCAAGCAGTTTTTCGGAAAGGTGTGCTCCCGGTCGATGGGCGGGATCATATGTGCGGGACTTATCACCATGATAACCAAGAAAATGAGGGAGAGGCTCCTCCTAGCTGCTTGTCTATCCCAAAATGTATGAAAAAACTGTCAATCAACATAGCCAGCATTTGATCACGTATGTATTTTTCATTTTGCTCTCAGTTTTTCTCATTTGTTTCCATATTTTTGTTCCTTCTCCCTGTACACACAGCCTGCAGTTCAGCCAACATTCTCTGAATTTTTGTCATGTCACCTTTTGTCACAGGTGAGTCAGTTGTGTTGCCAGCAATCGTTACTTGTGCCATGGAAGGCAGCATTTTTTTTGTTATTTACAGAATCTTGATTGTTCAAATGGTTTATTTTTTTTTATAAATTTTGATGAAATATCATGATTTTAGGCTTAGATTTGGTTGATGAACCTCAACCTGACGGCCCTCATGATTAGTTCAAGTTCCGTTGAAACATTGACAATCTGATGATTCTTTCTGTTTTTTTACAGTTTCTGGCTCTGATAAAAGGTGACATCATGCCAATCTTTTTTTCCAAGAAAGCATGCCATTAAAACCCGCCGGCGTATTTTGAGGTTCAGAGGGTTGTAAGGTTGTAATGTCCCAGTGTTGTCTTAACAATTTTTTTTTGCAGCCCCAATTGACCAAAGAATCAGCTATTTCAGGTTTAAAAGCATGATTGGGTATATGAAGCGGTCTCAGGAATGAATGCATAGATGAGTGTGCGTTTGTACCCGTCAGGGAAGATAATAGGTGTCGTCAGTCTGTCCAGCAGAGTTTTCCCTGAAGAGTCGACTTCATCCAAAGACTCTGCCTCCACACATTCCAGCTGTAACACCTGAAACATAGCAAAAATACATGTACTGAAGGAACATTTATACATTCAGCAACCATGTGTTCGCAACAATAGGCGAGGGCGAGCTGACCACACATACACGAGACAGAGCAGGTCATATACATTTGATGTCAACAGGCCACTTTTACTTCTAACCCAATGCCAGCTTTGACTAGACAATTTCTTTAGAAACTTTGAGTCAGTGCAGCTTTTGCTGGTTAATATGTCCGACTATAATCAGAAACAATATATATAAGTACATTTTATTTTGAAAAGCCAGCATTTTTCACAAACTCTCATCAGGGCCTTTTAACATTGTTGAGCTATTACTTTGAAAGTGAAGTCCAGCATCAATCAGCCAATCAGCTGTGAGTCACTGGCTGCTTGCAGTGAGCAGAGCAGAGAGCAGCAGACAGAGAGACTAAGGTCACAGCTCAGAAACTATATGTCGTATCAAAACAATTCTTTCCCTGCAAGAAGCACAATCTTGTTCTCAAGAAGCTGATACATTTTTATGTGTGTACTGTGCATTTTACAGATTTGGGGGAACGTTAGAGGCCCTCTGTTTCTGATTTTTACTTGAACCTTTGGAGTGCTGATATAATGTGGGTGAACTGGAGTTTTGTTTGACACACTCTGTACTTTGAGGTCATTTATGAAAAAAGTGTAAGTTCTATGGTCATGCGAGTCACGCTGGAAGAAAGAGGATGGAAATGCATACATTTTTATGTCTAAACTGTTCATGAAGAAGAAAAATTGCACAGAGGAGAAAAATTTTGCTGGTAACTGAACAAAAAAAAAATCTGAATTTTACAAAAATTCCGAATAGCTTAAGCTGTGTAAAAAAAAAAGTAAAAAATACAGAAAACACATATTGAAATCAATTACATCCAAAGTCTTGTGACTTGCTTAAATTTTTCTTAAATGTTAAATATGCCGGAGCTACAGGGTTCCAGAGATGGCTGCGTTTTGGTAGTTGTCCGGGTTCCAAGTCATTTCAATGTGCTTTTGTGGATAGACATGCTTGTAAACTGATGCATCCACACACTGCTACAACTGACTGACGATACAGTGACATCTCACCCTCTCAGCAGCAGTGTGGAAGTTTAGAGCCAGCTCCAGTCTTTGCTGTCTCTCCTCAGCACTGACGCTGAACTGCTTCCAGACTCGGTTGAGCCTCGGCAGCGTGTCTCCAGATGAGCGAGTTGTGCAGCGCAGAGACTGACAGAGGACGACGGTCGCCTGCAGCAGCTGACGGCCATAATCGTAGGTGCTCTGAAGGAAAAGACAGGAAGACACAAAGAGTTAGTGTCAGTCTGTTGTTTTGTTTTGTTTTCAGGTTATCTCTTCGTTATCGTCTCCTTAAGTTGACAGTTTTTTAGTCACGCTCGAGGCGCGGCTCAAGGGATGGTGACTTCAGCTACTCTGCTACAAACTTTAACAACTATTAGACAGATCGCTGTTAATTTTGCTCAGACATTTGTAGTCTGCAGATGATAAATCCCACAGACTTTGGTGATCCTCCCAGAGGCTTTTTGGTCTTGAGTAAAATGTCTAAACAAACTATTAGATGTCATTCAAACACAAGGTGAACTGGAAAAACTTGCGTGACTTTTCATCTGGTCTCATCGTCAGCTCAAAGTTTAACTTTGTCCTACTTTGATTTGTGAATAAATACCTGCAAAACTCACGGCATCCTTCAGCTGTGGGTTGTGTTTAGTTCTAGTTGGGGTGTCAATATGCTAAATTAATACAGTTAACCCTTTCAACACTAAGTAAATGTGTATTCCTTATACACGTCAACACTAAGTATCTTTGGCTTGAAATATTCCTTCAACGCTAAGCAACTGCTTGAAATTCATGATCAGATATGGTTCTGATTAATCACTCATCAATTCTTAAGTAGACTTCACATCATTACATATCTGGTATCAATCAAAAGTAGACAAGTTGACAGTTAAATATATATGGAAGTTTACTCTTGTCATGTACATACAGGTGAAATAGGTGTGAAAAGGTAAAGGTAAACTTCACAGTTACCAGGGATGTATGCAATTAATTATCAGTTCTTATATACTGAGACATCAGCCTAAGTCTTTTAATTAGTTAGTTTTGATCGCTTATAAACATTTCAGAAATGAGGCAGCAAAAATCCTGCTTCCTGGTGATTTTTGGGGTCAAGCGATGTCATTTTACTTCATTTGCATAATGTATTTCATGACTGAATCGCTTGTTCACAAACGGCAGGGGTGTCCAATCCTGGTCCTCGCGGGCCACAATCCTGCAGGTTTTAGATGTTTCTTTCTTCCAACACACCTGATGGATCGTTATCAGGCTTCTGCAGAGCTTGATGATGAGCTGATCATTTGAATCAGGTGTGTTGGAAGAGGGAAGCATCTAAAACATGCAGGATTGTGGCCCTTGATGACCAGGACTGGACACCCCTGACATAAGGGGATTCCCACTGATAGCCAATCAAAATGAATGTAACAGAAAGTCGCCATATACCAGAGCCCGCTATACCGTGTTGAACGGGAGTCGTAATGCCAGGCCGCTATAGTGGACTATAGTGTTGAAAAGGTTAACAGGGTAATCATACCTGCAAGACATCAGCAATTTAGCACTGTATTATGTTTTTTTTCATTAATTTAACCTTTATTTAAACTGGGAATATATTGAAGTATTGAGGCCTGATTTATAATATAAGTGAGTAAGAAAAGAAAAAAAATGTAGGCACACAAATAAAAAACTTGAAAAGGCTAAATCAGAAAAGAATAGAGAATTATCAAGTTCAAGCAAATGAATCAACTAAAACAAGAACAGCTACAGGGTAAAGAAGATAAACTCAAAAACTTAAACTGCCCCAAAGATAAAAGTCAGGCTTTACATAGCTCTGCATGATATTCCACAGTGAATAAAACTAGATTTTCTCAGCAAAATTAGTGGCATCTACAGAATAATGCAATCATGTGATTGTGTTTGGTAAGGTAAGGGGATATGAAACCAGTAAGAGAAATACAAATAAATCAAAGCATCGATTATGCCTTACAGAGAGGAAGGGCCACCCAGTCTTAGCATAGAGTCAAACTGCAACAACAGATTAAGCGATTAGCTGTTTGGACTGTAAAATTAGGAAATTAGAAATAAAATGTTAATTACTTTCCCAGTTTTGGGATGACAAATGTCTTGTTTTGCCCACAACACAATGAGATTCAGTTTGATGTTGTAGTGGTGCAAAGAGACCAAAAATATTTACATTTAAGAAGCTGTAATCAGAGAATTTGTTTGGGTTTTTTTTGGTCAATATAATGTGCATTTTTTTATTTTTCAGGTGCATTATTTCAACATCAAGAACAGTATTTTAATTATATGTGCAATATTCACTTTCATGTACAACGCCTCAATGTAATGTGCAATATTTCATTACCATGTGTGATATGACTTTACTACCTCAGATTCATTGTCAGTATTAGTTCTTAATTTTCTAGTCTTGTTTTAGTTTACTTATTCAGTCACTTAAATAGGCACTGGATTTATTCTCATGTGATGTAATTTTGTTTTCTGAGCAATATCTGGCAAAAGAATTTCCTTTTCTTTCCTTTTAAGTTGAACAAATATATAGTGATTCATTTAATAGCTGACAACGAATCCAGTGTCATAACTTTACATTAATAGATCAAATGACTCAGAATCTCACCTGAGCGACATCCACAAACTTCCGGTGTTTGTCCAACATGGTCCTGGTCTCCTGACAGTCATCGCCCAGTCGGACATGAGTCTTCAACAGGGCGTCCAACAGCTCTCCGAGCCACTCGACCGCCTGAACACACACACACACACACACACACACACACACACACACACACACACACACACACACACAAAGATCAGTACAGGAAGTGCACGTACAGCATGTGTGTGTATTTTTGTGTTGTTGTGCGTCCGACCTGCAAAGCGTCTTCTTCACATTTGAACAGTTGGACCATCTGTAGCATCTTGAGTCTCCTCACGTCCACCATGTCCTCACATCTGCAACATACAAATAGTTAAAGGCTTCATTACTTCAACAGACTGAAGCTTCATTGCAGCTGTAAACCTCTGAACCCCAAAACCTGTCGATGAGTTTGAAAAGTACGTTGTTGTTTAAAAAAACATCAGTTAAAAACTGTAAAACCAGAAAGAATTCAGAAAGAATTCAACAGAAAGATGTTCAACTTTCTAATGGTCCTTGAACTACTCATTTGGGATGTGTAGTTCTGCTGCAAAACAACCAAATCTAAGTTTAAACTCGTGGTATTTTATCAAAATCACATTATTCTACATGCACTTTTAAAAGTGTGCCAAAAAATAACACATTCTGTAAAATACAAGGATATTCTGAACTTGTTGGTATAATCATGAAGCCATGATGGGCTCAGCTGTGACCGACAGTCACGTGACAAAAGTTCAGGAAATTTTTGGCGAAACTACAGGCTGTGTTTACACAGTGCAGATAGGAGACAAGCATGGAATTAAAAAGGTGAGGAGTAAAATAACAATAGTATGCAGAGTGACCATGTTTCCATTATTGGTAACACCAAAAGGCACATTGAACAATATTGCATGTTGATTCCAGGTTGTTTTCAGTTTTTGTAAAAGAAAAAAATCAAAGAAATGTCACTTTTGCTTTTTTTTTTATTTATGCTTTTTGGCATTAAAACTGTGTTATGCTGCACAAAACATGTTTTTGAGTTCTCTCTACTTGTTGCCGTGGTTGTGCTGTTTTCATAACGGTGCAGGACTTTATATTGCAGGAAAAAAATGAGCCCACAGTGAGGAAAATTGTGAAACTCCTTGGAGTTCAGAGGGTTAATATGAAAGCTTTGGCCAGATTTAACAATATACTGATTCAAGGAGGCACTCATGGACAAACAGTTTGTCTTCAAGGTGGCGCTTGTAGGAATAAAAAGGTTTCAGGAAGAAAAAGGCGAACTGTAGTTTTTAATGACCGAAGAACGATCTGTAGTTGCAGAATGCTATCAGAGAAACTGTTACCTCCCAGTAAGGTGCTAAAAACTGATCACAAGCTTCACAAGACTTCAGTGTTATGTTTCAGCTTCTCACAAAGACGAATAAAAGAGACCTCCTGTGTCTCCTTGTCGACTCAGGCTTCAAGCACAAGCTGAACGTCTCTAAACATATCTGACAGACGCAACGTTGCCGTCTTTACATGTGTCATCTCCCAAAAAGGGACTTTCTGACAAACGCATGAAAAGGAAAAGAGGCAGACAGTTACCTCTGCTTGCGGAGCTGCATCTCCTCCATCACAGACTGAATCTGCTGAACGTTGTCCTGCTGCTCTCCTGGTGAACTCTCGGTTTCCTCCAGGGACCAGGAGGGCTGGCTGCACATCTGCTCCAGCACCAGCGCCCCCTTCTGACGCAGTGAGGAAAGACCCGCTTCTGCAGCAGGGCAGACGGTTCACGTCACAGAGGAACTTTACTACATCACTGATTATTTTAGAGGAAACTGAGAAGGGTACGAACCGACAGTCTGCAGCTTCTCCTCCAGCAGTTTGAGGTTTTGCTGAATCGATGCTCCATCAGCTGGAGCCACGTCTGCACAGAGCATGCCCAGTAGACCGTCCAGCTGCTGGGACAACTGCAGAGACAGACACAGGTTTGATTGTTCAGGATAAATCACATATACACATAAACATTTATTTATTTATTTTTTTTAATCATTTGCACACATACAGCTTCATCTAATTCATCGGTTCACCTCCCGAATAGCTACTTGAGAGATGTGCATTTTTTGTTTTTGTTGATGCAGTCAGGATAATGGAACGTGTCCACCAAAGCGTTTTTTTTTTTTTGCCAGCAAAGAATTCCAGGCACTTGTCTGAAAAGGCCCAGCTGCCAGGGCTTGAGATAGTGCTTTGGAGGTGCAGCATTTATAATACAGCCCTCATGTTTTTCGTTCTGACGTTGCTAAACGCGTCCGAGACCCATTTTTGTTATGATGCAACTGAAACCATCTGTCTGCATGTGTTCTTTAATGCAGTCCAGCTTCAAGTCTAAAAAATCCAGCACAAATAGCACCTGATACAGGGTCATTCCATTTTAAATGACTACATATTTAGAACAATTTCTGCTCCACTATCTGTGATGTCCAAATTTTTTATAGCATAAACTCTGTTTATCTATCAATCTTGATTCAGAAGTTGATCCAATAGTTTCTGATTATGTGTGCGCTGAAATATGACAAAAAATTAAAGCTGTCATGGAAAGTCCCATCTCTGTTCCACTTAGATCAAGCTGTCTAGCTATATTTTTGTGTTTTTAGTACAACTTGTCATACCTGCTTAATGAATTATAAAAGTTGAATAAAAATAACTTTTTTTCATTATTGTGACTAAGTGTTTCATATTAAAAAGTATTCCATATGTTTTGTTTTGTCGTACAGTGACATGCTCCATATGTTTCAGAAACTATCACTGGTTAACTTCTGCATAATCAATGTTTTTGTTCATTTGTGCTCAAAAGTGGGACTTTTCATGGCAGCTTTATTTTTTCCCCCATATTTAATTCATCCATAATCAGAGACTATTTGATCTACTGTCCAATACTGCACATTCTGAATCAATGACATGATAAAAGATAACAGTGAAAACGTCAGGCTTTTATCTTTAATTGTTCCTCAGATGATGTAACTCAAACGGTCTCAAATTTAAAAAGAACCTGCTGAAACAGGTTGATGGGCAGTTTAATAAAAAAAATATATGAATCTAAATTTCACAGGTAGCAATTTATATACTCATAATGGATTAAAAAAAGTTTCTAGGAAATCAGCAATAGTCCAGCAGAAGGCCCCTGATGACTTGAGATGAAATAACTCCACAGTCTGTGTTTCATTACCTCCTGCGTGGTGCCATGGAAGCCCTGCGCCGCCTGCAGGACGTTCTGTCGGCTCTCCAGATGAGCCGCCTGTCGGTAGCAAACGTCACTCAGCTGCTGCTGCAGCGCCTTCAGCTCCACCACTTCCTCCTCCTCCCCGGCACTGAGCAAGGCGGCGATCTGCTGGTTCAACTCCACGTACACGGCGAACCACTCCTGTTTGCACACAGAGACACCGAATCAGCTCACACTGATCACCAGTGTAACCAACTGAACATAGTGACACAAACAGTACTAGCATCTTCCTCATGGTTTCTAGGCCAACTGTCCTGCGGTAAATAATAACTTCATGAAGGTTAAAAGTTTTAAAAGGCTGCTAAATTCAATTTTTCATAGACGGTAGTATGTAGCAATGTTATACAATGTTTAGTCTACGGTAACTGATATAGATGCACTGTAATGGGGCGGCTGTGGCTCCAATCGCAAGGTTATCGGTTCGATTCCCCTCCACAGTCGAAGTGTCCTTGGGCAAGACACTGAAAGCCAATGGCAGGCAGCACCTTGCATGGCAGCTCTGTCGCCATTGGTGTATGAATGTGTGTGTGAATGGGTGAATGAGAGACACATTGTGAAGCGCTTTGGATAAAAGCGGTATGTAAGTGACCATTTACCATTTAAGAAATGTTCAGTGGAATGTTTACAGTGAAAGATGCTTTTCAGTCGACTCAAAACAAAAGTTAAATTAAAGGAATGTTTTAAACTCAAAAGCTACATGAGAAGAATGACTCCTCTCTCATGTTACTCTGGTAATTGTAAAGCTGGAGAAACAATTAGCTTAGCCTTGCAGAGGGACTAAAAGCAGGGGAGTAGCCTCGGTCCATCTTAATATAAACCACCTAACAGCACCCCCGAATCTCAGGAATGAACACATTCTATTTTAGTACGAGTATGGACTCCAGCAAGTTACTGCACCTAAGAAGAAACCTAATTTTGCACAAACCAAAGAAAAAAGATGAAACTTGTTGCCCTTTTGTGGCCATTTTTTCCCTCTGACTGGACACACCGCTGTGTGTGACAGCTCTACACAGATCATCACGTGGAACCGTCTTGTGAAATGCATTAAGAGTGAATCTGTTTCTGTTTTCAAGCCCAAATCTGATTCATCAGTTTGTCCATGTCACATGATGGTGAATGTGTGCGTTTCATTACACTGTGCTGGCTCTCGATCTCCTCATGTTTCTGCTGCAGAGCCTGAGCCGCTCGCATCGAGTCTCCGATCGCCTGCTGGGTCTTCAGCAGCTCTGAACCAGGACCCTGTAACCAGGTGACCACCTGAAAGAAGGACACAATGTGAAATACTGACTGTTTCAGGCTCTTCCACAGGTTGGATTAGGGGGAAAAGTCAAACTTACAAGCCTGTGTACATAAAAATGTAAGCTGAGAGGTGCACTACAACTACCAGGGTGTATTTTGTTAACACACATCTGATATTAAACCAGCATCCACAACATCAGGCATTTTCTTTGAGCTGCAGTACAGCAGCAAGACCAGCAGGAGGCTGTCAGGCTCCATGTGATGCTGCCATGCTACCAAACACAAAACTACATGGTATCTTTAAGATTTTCTTTCATTTTTGCTGTTCTTAGTCTTTTCTTATATAAATATTGTTTTATTTTTTATCTACTTGGTATTGTCCATAATATTTTTGGCAACATACATTTATTTACATGATACATTGGAGCAAACTGAAATTGATAACTAACAGCTGCAGTATAAGAGGGTTAGGAATTGAATTAGATCGAGAAGGTCAGAATAAAAATCCTTTGATGAATTGGGTATGAATCTGGGCACAACCACTCATTCTGACAAACCCCAGTTTGTAGAAAATACATTAAATATGTCCCATTTTTCTGAATCTTACCAGTGCATATGTCTGTTGTTCTGTTTGTTAACAAAAACATACATATCTGACATTGATGCACCTGGACACACAGCATCATAGCACACTTGTGTCAAGATAGAACTAGCCCACACATGTGTATCTATTACGCAATATATTTACACGTCTGCCAAAATACAGATACAGTGCTGATCACTTAATGTCATACCGCTTTATAGAATATCCCATTTATAATCATAAAATATCAAAGTCCTGAATCATTTCCTATATAACCTATAGTAAAACAGCCCGTTTATTGTCATAGAATCATGCCATAATCCTGGTTTTTGTCATAATGAAATTCACCGAAATTGATTCCAGGTATAACTTTTGCCCGTTTAAAGTCACGGTCGGTCACACGTGGCAGATTATCGTCACCCCGGTCAGGCAATGTGTTTGTTTGTCAATAATCTGCTCACCTGAGATCTGCTTCACTGAGTTATTCACACACTGTCTGACATTAATTAGGGCACATCAAAGAGAGTCGCATTGCTGCAGAGCATATCGTCACTCATAACTGAACTGCCCAGCTAGTTAATCATGATAAGTTAATCCTCTGTATACCCTCTGATTAAAGGAAATAACTTTTATTGATGGAGTGGCTTGTTGTACAAAGGTGAAATTTCACTGAAGCAAAACCATAAAGCTCCATTTGAATAAACATTTCTTGATCTTCAAAGAAACTGTCCCTTTAACCTTTTGAAAACATTCCCATTTTGGCCGTACGTACAAACCCCCGTTTTTCATCACACAGACACAATTTTCTCAGCGCTCTATCGTTGCAGACACTTCGATACACTCATCTTGAAGTCTGCTTATTGGAATATCCCGGATATAGTCAGAATTCCATCCTGGACCGAGGGTAGGACAATAACCGGGCAGCACTGTATGAAAGTTACACAGGCAGGTCGGCAATGTGTTAGATTCATGTCCTGTCGAAGTGCTACTCTCTCTTACAATACTGTCTTCAGGTGTCACTGAATGTAATTCTGGATTTTGCAGAAGCCTTCTGTACCTACTGAAGTCCTGTTTGCTGCCCACAGCTGGCTGTGTGTCAGATTCTTTCCTTTGACTTTAATCAATACGTAGAGCATTGCACAACAGTCTATTATTACGCACAAAGCTACATCTGCATGTTTTAAACGATTATGGGATGGGAGTTACAGAGGTGAATTTTTTGGCAGCTAAAATAAACATTGGTGTCCCTCCTAAAGCCTGACTGAAGATTACACCCTTACTGGTAAAGCTGCACTCCAGTTATTTACCACTTTTATTAAGCTGGAGACAGACAGAAGGCTAAAGAAAAAAGATTTTAAAAAACTGTCAAACTCAAAGCAGAGGGAGCTCAGAGCGGAGGTGAGTGGATCAAACGCCAACAATGCTAGATCCTACATTTCCCATAGTGCAATGCAAAGCATTTGGTTTTTAAAGGACCCTCTCTGGTAAATGCACACATTTTGGACACTCCACATCTCAAGTTTTGTAACAAAGGCTGCCTGTTTAAAGATGCAAAGTCTCAAGTCGAATCCGATGTAAACCCAGCAGTGAGATCAAGACAAGTAAAGCACGCTTTATGTGTAAAATCTGCAACCATTATAAAGTTAGAGTCAGAAATAAGTGTAAGAATTCCCTCAGAACAAAAGCGAAACACATCATGTCATCATCAATCATAATGAAATTACAAATATTTATATTTTCCGCAATATTTACAATTTGAATTACATCTTTTTGTGGAAGTTGTGCGTTGGCAGTAAGCTACTGATTTGTGAATGATTAAAAAATGTCATTATCAAGGCTGCCTGTGTTTTCATATTACAAAATAAAACCACATACTGTGGTAATAATTTCTGTCATTAACTTTGAGTGGAAATGTTCACCACAGTCCCACACATTGCAGCACAGTGACATTTGAAACTGTCTGTCCAGATGTGTGTGTCAGGATCATGACTTAATTGTATTTATCAGGTCAGCGATGCCTTGAAGAGTTCATACATAGATACATACACACACACAGTTCGATCCACAACTAGGCCAACCCCCCCACCTCAAATCCTCCAGGCTAGCGACCGACATGTTTCAGCTACCATGGCAACCCCAGGCTCACGTCCAAGACATGAGGTGATGTTACCCATCAGCCCCTGCGGCTGCAGGAACTCCAGTAACCAGAATCTACTGGAAGCTGTGCAGCACTGAAGCTGCTCAATGACACTGTTTCTGAGGGTCACAGACGATGAATAGAGTCAGGAAGCTGCAGCAGGAAGATGTTTGAGTGTGTGTACGACGTATTTACACATTTGTTCTGTAACATGAAAAGGTTTACGAGGACAAGGGAACATTATTTAACCTTCTGAAACCCAGAACCTGCTCGTGGTTTGAAAAGCGTGCTTTCTTTTTTACAAGTGCCAAAGTGATGCTATTTATCAGAGCCTGAAACTGTAAAAACAGAAAGAATTATCAAATTGTCAACTTTCTCACAGTCCTTAAACTAATCTGGTGTGACATCCAGTTTGGTTGGTAAACTTAACCAAAGCTAAACTTAAAATCGTGATATTACATCAAAATCCCTTTATTCTATAGGTTTCATTTTAAATATTGCAAAAAAACTAACAGTTTACTGCAACCAGATTCAGAAGCGCTGACTGACTCAGCTTTGACCAACATTCATGTGCCAATAACGTGGGGACTTCTTGGCTGAACTGCAGGCTGTGCTTGCAAAGACCTGATGATTTAGGTCTCTATAATGTTACACTCCACAAAAGACATTTAGAAAATTATCTCTACTAACTACTACTACTAACTTGCCACGGTTGTGCAGGATGTTACACTGACAATTGAGCTCATGGAGTAAAAATGTGACAGGAAAAAAAAAAACAAAAAAACAGAAACTGTTCAGGGTTCAGGAGGTTAAATGAAATACGCTCACATTTTCTCAGTTAATGTAAAGCTACCAGCCAGCAGCCATTTAGCTTCACAAAGCACAAAGACTGGAAACAGAGAGACACCACTAACCTGACTTTGAACAAAGGTTAAAAAAAATCTGCTTATCTCCCTGTAGAGCTCACTGATTAACTAACTTCTTAGACTTTTTCATAAAAATTTATTGAAATCTTAAACTCCAATGCTAGAAAAGCATAACTAAATTGACATTCAGGCTCATGAGTACAGTCAAACATGTTTAACAAATTTCATGTGGACATATTTGATATTTACAGAAGGACACTGATGTGTGTTACCTGCATGACCTTGGCGTGGATCTCGTCCAGCTGGGTGCGTTTGTTTCGCTGCCTGCAGAGCTCCTGGTATCTGGTGTACTGCTCCCTGAGCGAGTCGAGCAGCTTCATCACCTGAGGCTGAGCCAGCAGCTCCTCCTCCATCGGGCACCAGGCTGGACCTGGAGGTCAGACAGAGGTCAGTCAGAGGCCTGCTGGCTATAGACTGGGACGTCTCCTTATCTCTGGTCTAATCGAGCAAAAGAAGTTCACAATGGTTCATTTTCACTGAAAACACCAGTTCTCTGGAGGTTTATAATCCCCAGGAACCATAAAAAACACACACTCAAGTGTTTGTAGAAACTTTTCTGGAGTCCTTTAGATATTTGTCACCTTTCCACCTTAAGAAAAAGATAGACAAAAGTATGTGGACTCTTAAACACTGCAGTTATACTGGACAGCAACATAGATTTCCGTACAGCCTCTGCTCTTGGTTTCAGACTTACTATCCAATTTCTGAACCTGGTTGGTGGGATTTAGTCCCTGTTAAGGTCAAGACCCTACAATAGCTTATAGGGAATCCAAATGTTTTGGATTGTTGGGTGTTTCTGTCTCTGCCTTTGTTAAGCGCTATGAGATGACGTTGTTGTTGTAAATATGCGCTATACAAATAAATTTAAATTGAATTGGATTAATAAGGTGAAGATCCCACATCATAAATAATTGACTTGACTAACTTAAGCACAACCCTACAGTATTATATATATTTTACCTCACTAACTTAACTATTAAAGTTAGGACCCGTCAAGTATTGTGTACAACTTTCCCTGCATAGCCTAACTGTTAAGCCTAAGACCCTACAATAATATATATAATTTATGTGACTAACTTTCTATTAAATTCAAGACCCTAAAATATCATATATAATTTATTTGACTGAATCAATCACTAAGGCTAAGACCCTATAATATTGTACAGAAAACAAATTTGTGTGACCAACTTGTGTAGTGAGATTAAGACCCTACAAAAGTATATATAACTTATGTGACTAGCATAACTATTAAGGTCCAAACCCTTAAAATATTGTTTATGACTGACATGACTAGCTTAACTAGCAGGCCAAAGACCCTACAATATTGTATAGAATTGACCTGACTAACACAACTGTTAAGGTCAAGATGCTTAAAATATTTTAGATAATTTACCTGATTAACTTAAGTATGAAAGTGTTACAACTCTTACAATGTTATATATAATTCGCCGAGCTAACTTAACTATTACAATGTTGTACAATTTACCAGACTAACTTAACTAATAAGGTTGGGACCCTACAATATTGTGTTTAATACAAATTTACCTGGCTATTTTAAATACACACACGGACAAAATTGTTGGTACTCCTCGGTTTATGAAAGAAAAACCCACAATGGTCACAGAAATATATTGAATCTGACAAAAGTAATAATAAATAAAAATTCTATGAAAACTAAGCAATGAAAATCAGACATTGTTTTTGAACCATGCTTCAACAGAATTATTTTAAAAAATAAACTCATGAAACAGGCCTGGACAAAAATGATGGTACCCTTAACTTAATGTTTTGTTGCACAACCTTTTGAGGCAATCACTGCAATCAAACGGTTTCTGTAATTGTCAGTGAGACTTCTGCACCCCTCAGCAGGTATTTTGGCCCACTCCTCATGAGCAGACTGCTCCAGTTGTCTCAGGTTTGAAGGGTGCCTTCTCCAGACGCCATGTTTCAGCTCCTTCCACAGATGTTCAACAGGATCTAGATCAGGGCTCATAGAAGGCCACTTCAGAATAGTCCAATGTTTTCCTCTGAGCCATTCTTGGGTGTTTTTAGCTGTGTGTGTTTTGGGTCATTATCCTGTTGCAAGATCCATGACCTGCGACTGAGACGAAGCTTTCTGACACTGGGCAGCACATTTCTCTCTAGAATACCTTGATAGTCTTGAGATTTCATTGTACCCTGCACAGATTCAAGACACCCTGTGCCAGATGTAACAAAGCAGCCCCAGAACATAACAGAGCCTCCTCCATGTTTCACAGTAGGGACAGTGTTCTTTTCTTGATATGCTTAATTTTTGCTTCATGAACATAGAGCTGATGTGCCTTGCCAAAAAGTTCCAGTTTTGTCTTGTCTGTCCATAGGACATTCTCCCAGAAATTTTGTGGCTTGTCAACATGTAGTTTGGCAAATTCCAGTCTGGCTTTTTTATGATTTGTTTTCAACAATGGTGTCCTCCTGGGTCGTCTCCCATGAAGTCCACTTTGGCTCAAACAACGACGGATGGTGTGATCTGACACTGATGTACCTTGACCTTGGAGTTCACCTTTAATATCTTTAGAGGTTGTTCTGGGCTCTTTTGTTACCATTCGTATTATCAGTCTCTTCGATTTGTCATCAACTTTTCCTCTTGCGGCCACGTCCGGGGAGGTTGGCTACAGTCCCATGGATCTTCAATTTCTGAATAATATGTGCAACTGTAGTCACAGGAACATCAAGCTGCTTGGAGATGGTCTTATAGCCTTTACCTTTAACATGCTTGTCTATCATTTTCTTTCTAATCTCCTGAGACAACTCTCTCCTTCGCCTCCTCTGGTCCATGTTTAGTGTGGTACACACCATGTCACCAAACACCACAGTGACTACTTGCAACCCTATAAATAGGCCGACTGACTGATTACAAGTTTGTAGACACCTGTGATGCTAATTAGAGGACATACCTTGATTGAACATGTCCCTATGGTCACATTATTATCAGTCTTTTCTAGGGGTACCATCATTTTTGTCCAGGCCTGTTTCATGAGTTTATTTTTTAAAATAATTCTGTTGAACCACGGTTCAAAAACAATGTCTGATTTTTATTGCTTAATTTTCATAGAATTTTTATTTGTTATTACTTTTGTCAGATTCAAGTTATTTCTGTGACTGTTGTGGGCTTTTCTTTCATTAACTGAGGGGTATCAACAATTTTGTCCACATGTGTAGAACATACTATAAGGTTAAGACACTAGTAAGATATGTTGTACAGATTTTCCTAACTAACCTAAATATTAAAGCGAAGAACCTACAATATTACAAACTGTACCAAATTACCCGACTAACCACAGTATAAGTCACTGTGGGTTGAGTTAGTGGACACTGTGTTCATATTTATGTCTCACTCGTGGTGTTAAATGGTTCTTGGTATCCTGACGTCATGCCTTCATCTTACACAGAAGCCACTTACACTACGTACACAGTACTCTGAATGACTGCATTCACCTGTCAAACTCCAGCAACCACACTTCAGAGGAAACACATAACAACAGAGATAGCAACCACTAATTAATCCATGCATCCAGCTGTCACAGTGATGCGTGGTTGAGTGACGGCTGCGTCCTCACCTCCCTGTCCTCCTCCTCCTCCCTCCGAGCCGTTGAACCGACGCTGCTGCAGCTCCGACAGCAGCTCATGACCTGCAGACAGGCGGAGAGGGAGGCAGGTTGAGATATAAAAAGCTGTTGAAACAATAATGCGTCAGTGTTTGTGTACATGCTGATACATTATGAAAGGAGCTGGTGGAGGGAGGAGGGTGGCACCACGCACAAAGACTCCTTTCACCTCTGACCAACACACTGACACAGCTGCTCTGTACAGTCGACACATCCACCCATCATTCATCTGGAGGGCCTGTTTCATTCCAGCACCTCCTTGTGTTTCCTCCTCCAGGGCAGGATGAGTCCAGACGTCAACAAGCTTGAATCTACAACTACATTCTTTTCAGTCACTACACAGAGCTCCAGTACAGGTTATGATTTTAGCAGTGTGTGCTGCTGTTTTTGTGTCTCAGGAGAAATTTCCTACAGAAATCAGGTTTTTTAAGTCAATTTTACAACATGTGACAAAGGTTTTATTTGCTTTAATAACTACTTCACTGTGTACATAAGTGATGGGAGGAAGGATGCACGAAGGATATACATGCAAAAATGTATCTAGAGGTCTGATATGACACTGCAGCTGTCTGAGATACAGGGTATCTTCCAAAAGAAAAGTCTTTTTAGTACAATATTCCTTCTTTGTGTTTTCTTGTTGTGCCATAGCTGATGGATGGTAACAAAAAAGTTATTCAATCACTGCTCTTCATTCCATACCTTCAGTTAAAACTCAAGGCCCAGTTGGTCAAATGTAATCAGACCGGATTTCAGCTATGGTATTGGATCAAATCTGAAAAGTGGGTTGTTCCAAAGAAAAGAATTCTGAAACTGGATTACATCAAGTATAGAAATCTTGATTTTGATCAGGATTAAAAGGTTCATTACATGTTGCTCAAATAATCATAATAATAATAATATTAAAAAAAATAATAAATTATCCTAATTCCAGTTGAATCTCAGAATCTTTCAAACATAACAAAACTTAATTCACATTTGTATCATGTGCTATAAACTCACGTATTTATAACAGGCACCTGATTTGTTTAACTGTTTCAGAGATTAAGTAGATAAAGTACACATCAGGCTACTTATTAACTCTCTGACCTACAAGCAGTTTCTGGTCATTTTTTGCTCCTGTTGCATTTTTTCTGACTGTGGGCTCATTTTTCACTGCGATATGAAGATCTGCACCACTACGCAAAAAGCACAACCACAGTTACAAGTAGAGGCAGTTAAAAATGTCTTTTGTGCAGTATAACAAAGTTAGACTGCCAAAAATCATAGAAAAAGAAAGTATGAAAGAAGAACTTCCTTAATGATTATACAAAAATTGAAAAGTGCCCTCAGGTGTTACCAATACTGGAAAAAGTGTGACTCTAGATACTAAACATATTTTACTTCTGACATGCTTAGTTGGTTTTCATACTTGTCTCGTGTCTGCTCTGTGTGATCAACGCCTGCAGTTCAGCTGAAAAGACCTTGAATTTTTGTTGTCTGACTGTTAAATCACTACTGGTGTCACGATTGCCCTAAGAAGCTCAGAATCTTTTTTTTTTTTTTTTTTTACAGAATCTGATTAAAGCAAATTATTTTTTTCTGGAGAAAATTTTAATAGACATGTAGAACAACGTGACTTTGATAAAATGTCACAATTTTAAAGCTTTAGATATGGTTAAGTTTCCCTACCAAATGTTGCATCACGGATGAGTAATTCAAGAACCTTTAAACAAAGTTCAAAATGTGATAATTATGTCTGCTTTTACAGTTTCTGGCTGTGACACATGGTGCAACTTTGGTGATTTTGTCAAGAAAACATGCTTTTCAATCTTGCTGGCAGATTTTGGGGTTCGGAGGGGTAAAGTGACCCCTAGCTGGCTGTTCTACCTTTAGATATATTGTGATGTGTAGTCTCAATTAAAGCTCTCATCATTCGGGTTTGGTGGTCTTGACATGTTTGTATCTGGATCAGGGTTATCCAGTGTAACATGAAAAACTGCCACAAAAGTACAAAAGATGACCTGATCCTGGATCACAAAACATGAGATTTCCAAATCCAGATTAAACATTTTGAACAACTGGGCCCAGTTATTTATTAACTACCTAATAAGATCGTCCCTCTTTGTTGATATATTTAAAACCCTCTTACGAAACACCTATTTTCTGTAGCCTTTCAAAATTCCCATACACACACATATCTAGTCACGCTCTTTATTATTCATTTGTCCTCTGCGCAGTGAACCTATCATGTCACTTACTTACTGATTTTCCTAATTGTGTTTGCGTTTTTAGCAGACTGTAGTTGTCACGTCTTTGCAAAGCGCTCCGGTCATCGTCTCATGTTTTTAAACATGCTCTATTAATTTCCCTTATATGAGAATAAAGCATGTTTCTGTCTTGAGGACAAGGAAATGATTGTTCAGTCAAGCATCATGTCTGCGCTTCATTATGGAGATATCCTTTATTCTTAGGCTGCTCGCTCGACCTGAAACCTCGATGCAGTGCAGTTTATCATTATGCTTTGAATTCCACTACAGCCGTCACTGTGTGCTACTTGAAGAAGTAGGTTGGTCCTCAGCGATCAAAAGAAGAAAGCTGCAGTGTATCATCTTTATTTGGAAATGCCCCCTTAAAAGCTGCCTCGGTATCTAAACCTTCTCTTCGTCAGATCTCAGGAGTGATCTCACACATTTTATTTTCAGACTTTGTACTATTACCATCAGGTGGACTCTTCAGAGCCTGAAAATACACTTAATCCTTCTATATTCCCATTTCTACGACATTAGTCAACAGACAACAGCTCAATCTGAGCTCCTGATGTTTCCGGTCACATATGTGATCTAGATGGTTGATTCTGTTTGTTCTTCTGGCAACATGTACCTATTTGCATAAAGTGCAATACATCGCTCCTCGTACTTCAATATGCCGACAGGTTGTTAGGAACGTACAATGCACATTATGTTTTACATGGTTACACTTCACATATGGTTCATCTATGGCTTATTCTGTGCCGTGCTGTGTACTTTTTCTTTTATTGCCTCTGCATGCGTGGCACAGAGCTAGAAAAAAATGCTCTTGGGCACAATAAAGTATATCCTATCTGAATTACTACTCTTGTCAATATTGAACAGACCGTCCATTATGTTTCACCTTAAAATTAAACTAATTACAGAGGATTATAAAACCTGAATGCCTCATCCCACTGGCCGATTTTAAGCTTTTAACGTGTGTCTCTGTGATGGTCTCTGAGGATGTGTGAGCTTCTTTAATCTGCCAAAATGGCAGCAAAACTGCCATCAGAATTTACGTAACCACAGTTGTGTCTGGAAGAGGATTAAATGATATTTACCGGTCTGAAGGACGGTCTCAGGATCAAAGGATGGCAAGAGGGCGCAGTCAGCTGATCTGCAGAGGACAGACAGACACACAGCTCAGGACCTCATCTGTTTATCTTTAGTGTTTGTTTATTTATTTGTTTGTGTACGCGTGCGTGTGAGCGTACTTGTCCTTGTCAACTGAGCTGCTCTTGTCACCCTCGTTGATAATCGACAACTCATCCAGCAGCGACGTCGACTCCTTTGTGAACTTCTCGAAAACCTGCAAACGAAACACCAGTGCTCAGTCCCGGTGGCAGGTTACCATGGCAACAAGCATTTTTAAGTTACAAAAATAATAGATGCACAAATCTATTTATATGAGATAGTTACCAGTCTCTTGTTGAGCCAGTCGCTGTGGTCGTAGTCTAGACTTCCTCCAAAATCGTCCGTCAGTTGACAGGGTTCGATGTAGCGAGTCAGTTTATTGGCCGAGACCAGGATCACCTGACAGGAAGCAAAGACACCAGCATGCAACATATCAGTATGTTTGTGCCAAGGATGAATATGAAGCCTTGCCGAACCAACATCACAGCAAGATGACTCCACACAGCATGTGCAAGTGTATGCGAGATGTACCTAAAATTGCAGCATTTGCACTAAAAAAATTAGAATATAAGTTTCAATATAAATGAAATATTAAAGTTCAACCATAATATGAACCTTGAGCAATCTGGACCAGTATGTATAAGCTGTTAGGAGTGAAATTTTGATCTGAAATTAAGACCAAAAGATGGATCCCACAACAATACAATCAAATATTCCCTATTCTTAACATAAGGTTAAACACAGTGATTTCCTTACGCATTGTACAATATCAATTATATTATCTGAGCTGTAAAAAAACCCAAAAACAAACAAAACATTTTTTACATTTTTTTAAGTACTCTTGTATGGAGATGCTTTAATTTTAGGTTCTTTCTTTCAGGAAAACTTCCACAGATAATTTCCCAAACTGCATATAAATAATACTATATATCTGCAGGGGAAATATATTTTGCAAGCTTTTCTCATGCATGTTTCAAGACACTGAAGTGCAGTGGCAGAAGCAGTATTCACAGATCTTTACTTCAGCAAGTAAGTAAAGTCCGGCATTCACAAACATGACTTCAGTAAAAGTATGTATTATCAACTAGATGTACTAGATATACTAGCAATAACAGCAGTCCCCCTGCAGAAAAATACTGCCCGTCAGTGTTTTATTATGATATGACGTTTTTAGCTTCGTATTACTGTGTTTATTGATTGGTGAGCTGATGTGGCAGGAGAGTAAACGGAGCAGTAAGCTGCTGTGCAAACTGTAACATTAATATTGTTGGATAATATAAAATAGTCATTTATAAGCGGAAGCTCTATAAAGATTTATCTGCTTGGCTTATTTTGCATTCCCAGTTTATCTCGGTTTATTTAGGAAAAATTAGGTGCAAATATTTGAATTGAACAGCTGCACAGTCGTCTTCATGAGAGGATGAACTGAGGGCAGTATAAGATATATATAAGGACTTGTTGGGCTGTGAATATCTGTGAATCATTAAAATCTACACTAGTGGAGAGACCAAAACAATGCAGAGCTAGAAATCAGCATAAGAGGTCCACTTTAGCACTTAGGAGCCACTTCAGTGAGCACTTAAGAACTCCACTGAAACTGTCCTTGAAGTTCCTTTGAGCTTCTTTTTACAAAGTTGCTCCCAATTTTATAACGTTTTCATCCAGATGTCAAACTTTAGGTCACATTTATTGGATCGCATATTACACATCCAGCATTGCTTCAGTCTCTCAACCCAACAGAGCTCCTGGATCACAAGACAAACTTCTCCTTCGGCTTCTCTGGATGTTTTTCTAAATCTGGATAAAGAGTGTTCAGTGTTTGTGAACAGCCTGAGAGCTGATATGAGGTTTTACAGAAGAGGATCCCTTATGAAGAAACTAACCACAGCTTAAACTTAAAAATGTAGGCATTAATCACTTTTGCTGTGCCTGTATTTATACTTTATCATAGCTGCATCACCATGTAAATCGCTTTAAAGTGCGTTTGTAGGAAAGGTTGCCTCACAAATAAACCTGGAAGGACAGCTGGTAGTGAGCCTGTCCTCCAGTTGTCAGTGCAGCAGATGCTGGCGAGGAAAATTGGACTGAACTCAGTGTGTGCGTGTGTTTATTTTGAATGTCAGGTCAGACGTTAGAGCAGCTGTACAACACACTCCCCACTGTGTCATCCACAAACATACTCCATAGTTTAGATGAGTCACATTTCAGCACCGTCACTGGAATCTCCCTTCCAGCAGCTGTGGGTGTGCGAGTATTAAAATAAAGCGAACAAGATGAGCGCTGGAATAGATTTAAGTTATTGGACCGCTAAAACTTTACAGTCCACTTACGCAGGAGCGAACATTGTGAACAGAATAATGGGAATTTTACTCATTCCCTGCTTTAAATCTGCTGTCGTTTACAAGCTCTTGAATGACAGAGCGTCCTTGAACGCACCAGCAGGGAGAGCTTTTCTAACGGCCTCTTCTCTCGGAACACAAAGGTAACACCAATGGACTGAAATAAAATGAAGTCATCTTAACATCGACTGTGATGGATTATCTTTCGGCAACAACTTTAAAAGTCGCTACACACCCACCAACTTGGCTCCGGTTACCGTGGCAACAACGGTAGAGCCAACATGGCTGCAGAAATCTGGGTCACAGTGACTACTGATCTCTGTCAGTAAAACCATCTGTTGTAATAGAGGAGGAGGCTGCACAAAAATCACACACGCACACACACGCGCACACACACACACACACGCACAGCATTGATCCTGGCTCAGGTTTCCAGCTGCACTCAGGACGGTTAATGATGCTGAAGGTTATTATAACTGGCTCAGTGTCTCTTTGTTGGATATCAGGTAACAACGCAGATCAAAAGTGTGGCTGTGCGATCTTCAGACCAAAATGTCCACACAAGAGCAAAAACTGGAAACACAAACGGTCGGTTTTTCTCTGAGGCTATTCCAAATTAAAATAAAAAAAAAAAAAAAAAAGGGATCTTCTAACTGGTTCCACTCCTCTCTGTGATGGCAGCCATTTCATTGTTCAAGTGTAGCTGGCTAAAACAGCTAGAAAAACTTAGCAAGTTGTACAAACTACTAGAACAGCACAGAAACTTGGCATTTACTAAAAAAACAACCTCTGAATTTTACTCACGGTGGACTCAATTTTTATCTGCAAAACAAGGTTCTGCACCTCTATGGAAACGGCACAACTATGGCTAGAAGTAGAGAGAACTTAATATTGCCTTCAGTCCAAAATGATCGAATTATAAGGCTATTAACCTTCAGAGGCTGAGTTTCTTTGATTGGTTATGTTGCAAAAATTAAAAAACAAAAATGGAATCAACTTGTACATGTTATACCTTCACTGGGGGAAAAATTTAACAAACTATATTACTACTACATCTACTAGTATGTACTATACTACTAAATGTGTTTACATATTTGTCTCCTATCTACTGTGTAAACATTGCCTGCAAGTTCAGTCGAGAACTTCTGTTGCATGACTGCTGGTCGCACCTGAGTTACTACCGGCTTCACAGATGTTTTTTTTTTTTTTTTTAATTTAACCTTTATTTTACTAGGTAAGTTAGTTGAGAACTGGCTCTCATTTTCAATAATGACCTGGGCAAGAGGCGTCATACAAACAAGATGAACAAAAACAGATTACATGTACAGCAACTCACACAATATTACAAAACTATTACGCAAAGACTAAAAACAGGTGCAGTGGTCCTGAAGTGTTACTCTAGCTGATTTTTTAAATGACAATAGTGGTTTGTATGAGGTGAGTTTTCGGGATTGGTGCAAAGAGTTCCAGTCATTAGCAGCAGAAAACTGGAATGAGGATCGACAGAGAGTGGTACTGACTTTGCTAGTTGTTAGCTGAGGAGCACAGAATTTTTAGTTCTTTACAAAATCTGGTAAGTATAAATATTTTTGGTAATATTTTTTAATGTAACACGTGGAATAAAATGATTTTGACAAAATATGATTTTAAGCTTAGGTTTGGTAAAGACAGAACTGCATGTCATAGATGAGTAGTTTAAGAACTGTCAGAAGGCTGATCATCAGAAGATTGTTTTTGTTTCTTACAGTTTCTGGTCTTGATAAATGGAGTACTTGTGGAATTTCTTTAACGATAACATGTCTTTAAAATCCACAGGCGGCTTTTATGTTTTAGGGTGTTGACACACAAACGGGAAACAACCCACAGGGAAACCGTGCAGGGAAAAACTAAAAACATGAAGACATTCTCACATGTCCAATGAGATAATCTGACTTGGTTTTAGCACAAAAGAATTAAAGAAAACAGCAATGTCAGCACCAGTTCTTCTATTGTTCTGCCCCATATCTGTTTACTTCACTTGCCGACAGACAGGCCCACACAGTAACAGGAGTCGACATCCAGCAGCTTTGCGAGGCTGTAATTAGACACAGCGTTGTATTTAGTGAAATCCTAAAATAAGTATAGCATGCTCGCAAGCATGTTATTCTAAACTTTATGAGCTATAATGTTTACAGCATTCGCCATCTTAGTCTAGTGTGTCGGCAAGAACACAAAGTACAGCTGAAGCTGATGGGAATGTCAGTAGCACTAGTTTATAAACCAAAGTGTTGGAAAAATTTACATTTTGGCCTAATGGAGGCTTTGGATGTGAAGTTAATGAATCACCAAAGTTAACACAATCAGCCACATTGTTAACATGACAAACAAATGACCTTGTTGGTACCTCTGTTGCCTTTTCTCACTAAAGTTTTTATTGATTTTTCTTTAATAAAACATTATATATGTATATATATGTGTGTGTGTGTGTGTGTGTGTGTGTGTGTGCGTGTAATTCTTGAATTTCTCATCGCATTATTGTTTCTTTACAAATCCACTTTTCCAAACTTGAACACCCAGAACAACAGGGAAAAACAAGACCAGACAATCTATCCCTGGTGGCTTTTTAACAATTTATTGTTAAAAAGAATTCTGCAACGTCACTTTAAAAAACACAAGGTTCTTAAAAGTGATGGTTATGAAAAGCTCCAGGAACTAAACTCCATTCCAACTATTTGAGTTTGACCAGATCTGCTTTTACTGACTATCTGATATCAAAAACAGTTTTCACACTTCAACAAACACACACAATTCTCTTTAGAACAGCTTCAGAGTGAGAAACACTTAAAAAGCTTAAGAGCAGAAATCTCTGTTGCATGTTAGCCAAAAATGTGTCCTTTTCAAGTCAGGTATGAATCCCCAAATTCCACACAGAGCTCTGCTTCTAAAATCATCTCAACTATCTTTCAGAGCCTGAGAAACTCACCTCGAAGCCCAGGCGGTCTTTCTCCTTCCAGAAGCAGAAGTGTGTGACCTTCTTATCCCAGAATTCATCTGGCTTCACCACGCAGACCAGCGACACCTCAGCTGGGATCACGTTCTGAAACAGCATCAACAACAACATCATCATCATCATCATCATCATCATCACCACCCTTGGCTTTTAAGACCCCCTAATGCAAACTATTGCAGTAATGCAACTGAAGGCCTGGAGGGACGTTAAATGTGTTTGTACCTGCAACATGAGCACCACAGTCTTCACGATGTTCCACTGAGACTTCCGTCCGTCCACGATGACAGTGAAACCTCGAGCTTTACACTTTTCACTGAGAGGGAGAGAAAACACTTGGTGTTACTGACTGTCAACGACACAAACCAACAGCGTTTGAGTAACAAAGCAAGCTGACTCTTCAAACAGAAAAAGATTTTTTACTTGATTTGTTTTTTTTACCCCAAACATTCACATTCAGGTTGAAAACATTATTTCTATGTCACGGACACATGCATTTAGGGTCTAGCTACCAAGTAATTCCCTTATAATAATTATTAACTAGCAAAACAAAAATTAAAAAAATGTAAAAACGGAGAAGCTTTAAAAAGTGGAAAAATAGACAGTAAAAAACACAAAATGCAAGATAGAGAATTTTAATAGATAGAAATCATTAAATCAGCACCACCAACACCAGCACCATGAATGCGATACCACACTATAGTAAAGGAATAAATAGAGTAAAAGAGCAAAAAAAAAAAAAAAAGAGTAAAAAATTAAAAATTACAATAGTAGTAAAATAATAATAATTTGATCTATTAAATAAATAAATAAGAGAAAGGGAGATTATATTAGACAAACAGATAAATACAATAAATAAATGAATATATTAAATTAATAAAATAAAGAGATAAAACTCAAGAAAATAACTATTACATTTCAGAATTTCTATTTTCACAGTAAAAATATACTGGACTTTAATTTTTACCATTTTAGAGCAATTTTTCATTTAAAAACATATTATTTTAATTTAATGGTGGCTTTTTCCCATTAGTGAAACATTCTAAGATATCCCTTTTTTCCTGTTTATGCACTGGCAAGTTTCACCAAATTCTTTAAGCTTTTCACATTTTCCAATAACCACTTTCTTCTGCATTAACCCTATTTTGGTATACACGTGGGATTTCTGATATTGTTGTTGTCACTAAGGATAATTTCTGCTAACTACAACATAAGTTTAAATTTGTATAGTTTCAGGCATCATCTCTTGCCAAGTTGTGACTGTGTTCTCTGCACTTACTTTAAGTAAGAGTAAAATGTTTTCATACCTAATCTAAAGAATAGAAACTACATTAGTAGTACACAGACAATAAACAATTCAAGATCTTTTTTTTGGAAGTTATGTTTGCTAAAGCATTGTCAGTTTAAATCGATAACTAGACATTTATACATTCTCAACCTCAGGTGTCCTTTTCAATGGAGGCAGCAACAGCAGGACATTTAACTGTCTTGCTTTACTTTCATCTATGTCTTGGATTTCCTTTTCCTTTTCTGTTGCATTAATTACGGTTTGAA